AACAAGGAGATAGCAATTTTGTTTATTCCTTCCTAAGTTAGGAATCTTACTACATTAAGGAATAGTCAAGTCAATTCCTACTAGGAAGTGCTTGAGCTGATCTGTTCATTTTAATTTGTTTGGGTTTGGTTCTTTTTTTACTTTTCTAGTTCATTCCTTTATGTCTTTTTGTTTCCTTTAACTCTTGCAAATTTGTTGGAGTTAGATTGCTACAAAATAACTTGAATTGAGCTTGTTTAGTTCAATAATGAACTAAAAGAGGAAAGTTGAGTGAGGAAAAAAGGCAAGAGGTGTGAGCAACACTTGAGAGAAAAGCCAAGTTCTACAATGTGCAAAACATGAGCGTTGAGTGCCATTTTGTGAGAGAGTGGAGTGAAACACGTAAGGGAGTGTTGTGAGGTCATTTTATTCTTCTGTTTCTAACATTCGTTGAAGGTTTCAATCATGTCAAGCGGTGATGACAAATCAACCACTGGAAGACACCCTGTGGATGAATCTCTCATGCTCAAAGCAATGCAACAACAATTTCAGAGGCTAAACATCATGTTTGGTGAGATTAGAGACAGAATGAAGAAGCAAGATGCAACTATAGCCAATTTATACCAAATACAGAATGGAAGTCTGAATTTGTGTAGGAATGACACTAATGATGATATCAATGACGATTATGAAGATGCATTCAACAATGATGCCCAGAACTCAAATTTCAGTATGGACAGATTTATGAGAGGTAGAGGGGATCAAAAAGGTAGGTTTAATCGAAGAGAGCAAAATCTGACGAAGTGGGGAGATCGGCAAGATCATGACTTAGGTAGCATCAAGATGAAGATTCTTCCGCTTCAAGGCAAAAATGATCTAGATGTGTATTTGGAGTGGGAAAAGAAGGTGGAATTGGTGTTTGATTGCCATAACTATTTTGAGGAAAAAAAGGTGAAACTAACAGCGGTGGAATTTACTGATTACGTTGTGGTGTGGTGGGATCAACTTGTGCTTAGTTGACATAGAAATCGAGAGTGTCCTGTTGACACTTGGGAAGAGATGAAAGCTGTGATGAGAAAATGATTTGTTCCTAGTCACTACTACCGTGATCTCTATCAACGATTACAGGGCCTTACTTAAGGGTCCAAAAGCGTTGAGCATTATCACAAAGAGATGGAAATCATAATGGTTAGAGCGAATGTGGAAAAGGACAGAAAAGCAACTATGGCATGGTTTCTAGATGGCTTAAATTGTGATATAGCTAATGTGGTGGAGCTGTGATGCACCAAATACGCACTACTTTTAGGCAAGTGAACCTAATCAATTATGCAGTATAAGATGAGTAAGATATCGTTCCCTCGAGGACTATCCTACACTACCAAGACCCTATTAATCTAACCTAAGTTGAATTAACCAATTAATGAGGAAAACTAAACTATTTAAAAGAAAACTAAGTCAACTAAAGAAAATTAAACTAAAGAATTTTCTAAGTTAAAGAAAACTATGAATGAAAAGGAACTAGGGTTTGGATTTCATTTAACTCTGAATTATACAACTGTTTCACTAATTTAATTCAAGTTCAAATAATAATGTTATTGCATGAGATGGCGGATTTCCCTAAATTAATTAACCAGCTTTCTCAAGT